TTTTTTAACATGATAACTAAGCTGGGTAGTTGCTCATTTCTTATCCTTCATTTAACCTACTCAATTAGGAATCAGTAGAGAATTATTTTTAAGAATGTAGAACATGTACTAACAGTTCAAAAGAAAAACACAACCAACTCTAATGTAACTTACCTGCTCGAAAAATGCAGTTAACCAAATTTCAGACTGATAAAACTGAATACCACAAGGCATGGTAGGTAGTAGGTATACATTAAGTAGCTCGTAATGTAACCTTTTCTATGTGTCTTAAAAGGTGTCGTTCGGATTTTAATGGCATTGCCGTCTATAGTAGAGCTTCTTTCCATTTTACCGGTTTAATTCTCCGACTGGCGCGGTCATAAACGCATTCCCCAGGCCGGACGAGACCAGTGTAAACAAATTCTTACAATCGACCGAAATGACCATTAAACCGACCCGAATGCCGAAATACCGTACGTGTTTTTAAATGTAAAAAAAGAATTTCCCGAAAATATTTTCGTCTCAGAATTCTCGGAAGCTGTACCGGCGTTTAATTGGCTCATTTATGTTACTTTATTTCTTATTAATTGTTACGAATGCGAAACACTTAGGGATTTTATGTTCGAGCGAAATGGGCGCTGATGATGCCCCCGAATTATAATTATCGTCGTCATTAAGAAATTAGTACCGTTTTATGATACAAGAGGCGCGGTTGAAATTTGTTTTTTATCCAATTTTATCGGTTTTTCTTGGGCGGCTTCGTGCACGAATTTCGGTGAACACAATGAAAAAGGATTTGCTTACAAAGAATATTAATTACGATCCACCGCAGTTATTCAGCTGGTCCATAAAAAAATTAAGCGAAACCTAAACTAAATGATTCTTACAACACATATTTTCTTCATTAATGCAAATGTTGTTAAAAAACACTTAATTCAAGTAATTCGATTATTTGTCGCATTGGAAAGAAATAATCTAATAAAAGATATATAATTTTCCACAAAGCGCGATTTTGAGAGCGCTCCGTTTTCAATCAGATACTTTATTCCAGGATATCCTCTCAGGTTCAATTAAATCCGGTAAGACTGTCTGGGTGAACATAATTTTCGAAATAAATTAAATTACCGCGAAAGAGAAGAAGGTGTTCGGTTCAATTAATTGCGTAATTAAATTATCCCCGCTGCGAAATTTCCGATTGTCGACGGATTTTTTTCTGCTTACCCTTTTTTTTGTTTTGGGTTTTTTTTTATTTATTTGTCGGCGGGTGCGTGTGCGTTGTTATGCGAGTAGCCCGATGTTCCAGTGGTATTTTTCCAATCTTTTTTCCTGCCCTAATCCGTTTATCCCGACTTAACGCAATTTGTTTTCTTTCTGTTGTACGTACCTAGGTTTATTCTATTTACTTAACGGGTTTACGATGGGCTCGAAAATTCGGGCCAATCGAGTAAGAGTTTTTTTAGACGAAACATATTTACCTCCAATTTGTCTATACCTACAGGCTTTACGCTTTACTCCCTAGCCAGAGACTAGTTTCAGAAAATCAATAATGATTATAGATGTAGCCCTGTAGGTAAGAGAGCTTCATGATGTCACTGAATGTTACCGTAATTAATTGATAACGTATTTCTAACCGAAAGGAAATCTTTAGGAATTAATATTGAAAATAATAATTACAGAAATAAATTTTCATCCGTGCCGGCTGGTGTTGGTCGTCGAAGCGAATAAGAGTTAAAATTTCATCGGATACTTTATTTTCTCCAAAATGTTCTTATGAATATGATAATTCATTGTTTTGTTTTAATAAGATTATTTAATTTCCATTTAGGCTCATGAATAAAACAACAGCCGCCATCGAACGTTGATATAAATTAATAAATTTATTTATTAAATTGATATCCCGCTATTGTATTGTGACAGTTCTTAATCATACCTTTCTAAATTATTATGTTTATAAACAATAAATTGTAATTTAGTTAGAAGTTATAATAGAATAAATATTTTAAAATGGTTATTTGAAACTGACTTTTTAGTAAATCACTCTTGAAAAATTAAATTAAAAATTAATTGCTTTATTTCTATACGCATTTCCGCATTACGAATCCAATCGATTCGAACAAAAACGTTTCGAATAATTTTGTTTTTTTAATGTTATAAGTAGTGTTTACAAGATCATACAAGATAATGGGTAGGTGTAGTTTAATAGTATAGGTACACCGACACCCTGTATGTTACTATCTATATCGTAAAGTTTGTTTACGTAATAGCCAATTTAAGTTTACAACACCTTCCGCCATATAGATAACAAGGGTACTTTAAAATTTAGCATAAAAGAGAATCCTGAACGTTCATCAAGATAGGAACCCCGCCATATATGCACGTTTTAAAAAATCGCACAGGTATACTTAGTGCCGGCGAATGCGAACCATTTGGCGCGAAGAAAATATGTGTGAATTTTACGTTTCGACCGCAAGCCATTATTTTATTACATCCTTAGACAGCCGAGAGAAAGAGAGAGCCCCGTAGCATCTAATAAGCTCTCCGACCAGCTCCATTCAATTCATATTATCCTCTCCCTAATAAAGTTTCGAGTCGGACAGTAGCTGCAGCATTACGCAGACCCGCCATTATATCATTACCCGGGGGTCGTTTATTACGAAAAGATACAGAGCGCGATAGTTTAAACAAAGGTGCATTCGCAACGGAATGAAATTATTAACATACACTTTTAGATGACAGCGAGATGATATATACCGAAGGCGAACGAGTTATGTTAATATGGCGGCCGGTTATGACCGTTGGGTTCTGGGAGGCAGAAGTTTATGGTTATTTATGCGATATTCGGATAGGAATTATCTTCTACCATCTTTCGAGTGTGCCTGCTGCTGCAAATGCCGAGTTCACATCGTCAAAAACGACAAGAAAGAGACACCCACAGAGATTATGACGATATAAGAGATATTAACTGAATAATACGAACACACACACGAACACAAACGAGAAAAAAGAAAAGTTTCTGTGAGTTGAATTCATAAGAAACTCTCTCGTATCTAAGTACTTATGCATTTCGCCTTTAGATTACTATCTTTCTAAAAGATAGATATTATAAGATGCGCCCTCATTCAGATGTCTTTGTATTTTTATCTTCACCATTTATACCCCAAACAATTTCAATCTGTGATTAAATGCAAAAGTTGAACTGTTATTCCTGGTCTGATCGCAGATAGGTATTAGAAAAAAACTAATTCAAATTAGCATGTTTCGAAGATAAATTTAAATAAAGAAAACTTCGTTTTAATAAATATTGCAGGCAACCGCAAAGATTTATTTACTGAAAGCATCCTTACACCTCCGGGTCAATTGAAACAAACACCGACGAACCGCATTAATCTTCTTTAGGCGGCGCAAAATCTACATTGGCAAGTGATAAATCTTTATTTGGCCAACTGAAATCGCTTCAAAGAGTTTTTAAGTGAATTAGGTCAGTCTCGGAGGCGGCTCGGCATTCGGCATCGATCTTTACGCGACGGCGATCCTCGGGGGGCATTATACATTCACGGGGAAAAGACCTTTCCGAGCGCATCGTCAGTCAGACGGCCGTGTATTCGGGACTCGGAAAGGGGTTTCGAGAAGACACAAAACGGAGACGAGGTCGGCGGTCGGGTCGAAACAAGAGGATTACTGTATGAATTCGGAGGGGTCGCATTGGAATTGAAAATCCTCAGGACTTACAGGACTAAAATTTGCTTTGTACCTTCCGATTATTTAGTTCTCATTATAACTAAAGTAGTTATGTTATATGCATAAAGTAATTATATTAGATGAACTAACCAACAAATGATCTTTTAAATATACGACATAAATTTAGTTTCTTGGAGATTTTGGTGCACGAGCAAGTAATTAAATACCAGGAAACAACCTAAGTTATATTAAAACTTTCTACAAACGCCATATAAATTGTTTTATGGTCTCAATTAGGTAACGTACAAATGAGTTTTGCACGTTTTATACTTGATTCTATTTAGAATTTTCGCAATGTTTTTATCTAATTTAGCCATTAAAAGTCTAATTAAATCCAGAAAAAAATCGACAGCAGTATATTACAAATGTTCGGTGGTAAATTAAGTAATTTGGTGTAATGTAATAAACGTTTTGTAATCCTATTTTTTTATTAAAATAGCTTTATGCCTTGAATAGGTTAATGAATGTAAAATGTGTAATCGGAGTCTTTGATATAATATTAAATCAAAGTTAGCATGTGAACATACCATTAACAGATTAAAATATACCTAGATAGGTACTATTCAATGTTCAAAATAAATTCGAATGATTTCTCTAAATAGGAAATACCTACTCACTTTCGTGCATCAGTATTGATCAGTTTGCCTATATTAGATTCGGCCCAGAAGCATAAAAACTTTATACAAAACGAAATTTATGGAATTTATCAGATAATAGGGGTTCTGAGATTTGTATTAAAATTAAGGCTATTCATTACAATAAAAGGTTTCCATTGTAGGAAGTTAATATAGGCATAACATGAAATAGATCAATCATAGCTTTTATGACCTGAAATTATAGGTATAATTATAAAAAATAATATTTAAACTTGCACGTTTCTATATTAATGGAATATGCACGATAAAAACTGCTATAAAAAAAGTACTTATAAATTATCATTAGGAATTTACTCTAGATTGAATTTACCCCGAGAATGTTGTTTTAACGACGAATGTTTTACATTTTTCTCCATTAAATAGATACACGTATACAAAAACAGTAATTACCAAAAGTATTCTTAATACAATTTAGGTCAGTAAAATTAAAATTAAAGACAAATAATAATTATTACTTTTCTATGCTATAAGAATTAGGCTACTTAATAATTAATGAAGTCTGGCAAGTATGATGATTCATCCACAAAATCAATTTAGGTAATGAACAATATTAAAAAAAGTTAGGTATTTAAATATTAACTTGAGGTACTTTAACATGAATGTGTTCATAAAAAACTAATGACCTACCTGAAAATAGACCTGCTTGTGATCCACCCAGCCGATGACCATGTCCGATCCGGCCATGCGGCCGTCTTTAGAGAACCCGAAACCGACGTACCCCAGCGTCCTAACTTGCAATTCGAACGTGATATCCTGCGGACCTGGCCCCAACACCCACAACAATCGGTAATCCGGACTCAAATAGACGGAATGGGCCCATCGCGCTCCCCACGAGACATTCACTATGCACAGCACTAACGATAACACTGATGATAATTTTACCAATACGCGATCCATGGTTCTCTTCTCACCTACAGGAAAATCGACCGCTTAAGCAGTAGCAAACATCATCTGAAACAGAAATGCCACGTCAATTTCGCCGTTTGTAAAACTAATATAAAACTATAAGATAATTCAAAATGCGATTAAAGGAGAGGCTCTGAATGTATTGCTGATTCACGCTTGGCAATTACTTACACGGAATTACCTGAAGAGATATTAGTAATGATTTAGAATTCATTGAATATGAATGGATATACATGAGTCAAGCAAACAGATTGCTTTAATTCATCAAGATAGTAAGCAGACGCTCTATGTTCATATAAATTACCATTCTATTAGTGTCACCGAGAAGTGTTGAAACCTATGTCACAGCCTTACGTACTTTTTTTACCGCTTGTGTAATTAAATTTGATGAGATTTTACGACGAATCTTTAACATTTTTAAGATTTTAAGCGGTATCTAGTAGGTCAACAAGTAGACAAATTGTTTTTTAATCTTCTCCCCATCTTTATTAATCTCGATGCCTTAATTCAGTTATTAGCGTTCGTACATTAGAGCAACAATAAAAAAATGACCATCCAACAAACACGAAACTCTTGTTAGTACTATCAAAAAACAGCATTAAATACAAAACAATTAATGCAGGCCGAATTAAATGTAATCGTACATAAAAGCTAGAAACTTTCTCGTCACGTAAAACACTTATAAAATTAGAAGCGAGCAAGTTGATTGGACATAAAATGTTAATTATAATTTTAATTCGTACATAACCGGCTCAGTTGTACTCGCATTTACATTTTATTACGGGGAAATTTAATGGCGTACAAAAGGAATTCCAAAAAATTCCAGTGAAATGAGCTCTAAAATTAATCATTCGGTTAGTTAGAGAAGGTGTTGGAAACCTCCAATTGGTTTTTGTTTTTTAAATCAAATAAGCATACAATTTTCTGATCACTATTTTTATATTCATCTTCTTAAAGTAATATGGTTTGATATACCTAAATAAAAAATAAGTAAACTAAATTAAAACCTCCCTATATGTTTCGTTATAAAACTTTTATACCGTTTTGCGATGATTTGATTACCGTTATATGCAATACAAAAGCCGAAATAATGATCTAACAATATTATAATCGGTCGATTAAGTCTAACGAAATCCGGGTTTTTCCTCATTGGCAATTGACAGCTTGTAAATTCGGAATCGCGGAAATTATTTTCCAATTCGGGCGGGTATCGCTGCGGCGGCGGCCGCGCGCCCGCCCCGTCAGAATCAGTTACCGAACGGCAGCGTTTTATACACTAAACAAATGCTGACACAACTCCACAACTCCCGCACAATTGCCGATATCATGCAATTTGCTATCTGTTGGAAATGTTTCCATTTTGGTTGGCTCATTGTGAGAGCCGAAAGCTCGGAAAATGAAATAGAGGAAGAGAGAAATGGCTGTTGCGAGCCGAGCAAAAAAATGTAAAAAATCTTCAATGGCAACCGTTGAATTCCGTTCGATGAAATGATTGAACATCAATCTCAGGAATTTGCATGGTATTTTTACTGTTTGCCTACTAAATTCTCCTGCCGCGTTTCGACTCGTCTTTTATTAACGGTTGGACTAGCCGGGTATTTTAGTCGAAATTGCTTAACAAGTCAATTAAAAAAATGTGGACAACGCATTTTAGCGTCGGATTTTTGAATTATCTGAATCCGACGCTGTATGAATATTGAATATTTCCAGTATTTGCATTACGTGCTTTTAATACCTAAACCGATGCACTACGTTCTAGCAAAAAATATTTATCATTTAATAGATTCAAAAAATGTTTTTTTTTTTGAACATTGATGGTTTTTATTTGATTTTATTAACGTGAAATTCACCTTCACGATAGAAATGTGTGTAATAAAACCGTTGTACTTGCACCGGTGGGAGTGAAGTTAGGGATCCATTCTTTGCGGGAATTCGGACGTCCAAAATTGCTATTGTAACCTCAATTGTTCAGAAAAATCCATTTACACCATGATACATTCAATTCCTTACACTACGCCATATGCGCAATAACGTTTACAACAAACTAATATTTTATCTTTGAATGAAAGGTCCGCAACGAAACGAAATTATACGGTGGGGTGCCAATGCGTCATTGTTTCGTGACAAATTCCCTAAACAGGCGAATATTGCCAACCATCCAGTCAATGGTTGTATACCAGAAAACCAGTTCACAGTATGTATAGTTCGAACATTGAAATATTTTTTTCAGAACCCTGTACAAACAAAAGTATATTACACCCTATAATTAAAATAGTAACAAGTAGATTGTCTGGAAATAGTTATATTATCAGGAGAGACTCAGCAAATCCTATTAAAAGAATGTGTTAGAAATATAAATACAGTAGATATCCTAAGGATTCTTAATCCTACGTTGAAAGACTATAGGCTCGAATGATAGGATTGTAACGTGTTGTAATCTGATTTACGCAAAATAATTTTAAGCAGCAGACAAACATTTTATATGTTGAGATATAAAAGTATAAGCCAATATAAGAAATTTTATTTCGTAAAATTTACTCAAAATCCCAATTGAACTCTCCATAGTGCTGAATAAAACATTTAAAACGAGGTCCAATACGCATTCCTAATGAACATACCAAGTAATAATATTATTCAACAAATTCTTATTAGCTAACGACCTTTATTATCTTAGAATCGAAGACAAGGCTCCATACTATCGGTTCAACAAACTCGATGCATCTCCGTCTGATTTCCAGTTCTTCGACCAATTTCCTGTTATGTGTGTGTTGCATTATGAAAATTTTTATCTCGAATCGTACATGCGAATGAAAGAAAGTTGATTGTATTAAAGATTCAACCGAACTTATTATAAACCGTTAAAAGCATTATTTCGTTGCAATGAATAAATTTAAATGCAGGTATAGGTAATGAACAAGAAAATTACTATAGCATACGGTATACATGAATACTTATTAGAATTTTTAAAAGTGCGTTAAACTCTATTGTTATGAAAATAAATCGAATTATGGCGAAAATTGAAAAGAACCTACAATTTGTGAAAATTTAGATGATGGAGAAATAACGTGATTTCAATGGCTAATATAAAGAGCATCAATCTATAAACTCTTTTCAAAAAAAATTGCGGAACATAAAACTGTTTTATTGAAGCATTGTGTCGAAAATGGTCGATAATTTAATGCAATTTCACACCGACTGTAAATGAGGGAAACCATTTAGAAAGTTCCGGAAAAGCACTTAAATGAAGAGTCGACGCTTTGATGCGAATAAAGAAATATTAAGCTTTTAATTCGCGGAAGGAATACTCTAAAACTGTCATACTCTATTGTAGACCGCTCAATAACCGGTTGAAAACATGTTCGTTTCGCCAATTAAACTATTTCTTCTGCTTCAATACTTTTTTTAAATTTTTCTTCCAATTATAAGTAACAAATGGGATTTTTCAATTTTTTTAATAAAAACGCAGACGTGCTTAATGAAAAAATATGCTCTATAAACAGATAATGAAACGCAAAGAATAATGAGAGGCTATTAACCAAATGTTTTCAGGTTTTTAAATGTTGAAAATTCAACGGTTCTGTAATGTTGGTACATACATTTTGTTAATGAGGCTGTTATGTTCAAAAACATTTTTATTTTCTTCCTAGCCGGTATAGTAAGGACATTTTATCATATGTAGTTACAACAGTATCTAGTTTTAGTTTTTATTTAACGTTTATTCTAGTTCATTACTTTTTATATTAAATACGAGTTTTTCTGGTTAATATCCAAATTGCAGTTAAACGAATGTCGCAATACAAATTATTAAAATCTACTCAAGAATACTGTTTAACTTTCGTGTCACCAACCAACAAAGTGAATATTATTTGTTAAACCTACTCCTTTTTCATAAGAAGGTCTCCAACCTAGTTGGTGAGCAACCTATTAAAATCAAAAAATTTTGGAGATAAAATCGGACACGTTAATGTTGCCTAACAGTTTTGTGACCTTATAAAAAATGATTATGTCAAATAACCAGCACCGGTGGGTATGGTAAATTAAATTAGAAAAAATTTAAATTACCTCAGCTCTTGTAACTGATATCTGTCAAGAAAAATCTTACGCTCAATTGAATAATTGCTTTTATGTATTTCGGACAACGTTCATTAATTATCCGTAAACTAGGCGAGTTAGTTAACAAATAAATTATCTTTTTGTTAATAAATGACGTTTAGTTATTTAATGGTCGTACGGATAGTGGCGTAAATTAATTAACGTCTAATTAGATATTTAATTTTCTAGATGAAAAAAGAACCAATAAGTAGGTTAATGTCAATAGTAAAATCATAGAACTATACATGCATAGATAATTGTATAGGTAATTAAGAAAAATTAACTATAGGTGTTATGTTTTTTATAACTTTTTTAATTAATATTCATTAATTTATTAGTCGGTTATGTCTATATACAGGTTGATTCATTTTAGTGTGCAAGATAGGTTATATGGGTGAGGCAAAAACTTCCATTAGACTTATATAAAGGAAAAAGAAGAGTTATAAGATAATTAGGTACATAAGAAGGAACTATTTCGAATTAATTAGCGTATAGTCGAGGTTGATTACTGGTACAATAATTGGCCCGTCGAGCTAACTTATCATCGTTGAAACAATGGCTGGACGGTCGGTAATTCTGATGAAATAATATCGCATTGTCTACAAGAACACACCTACGATAGTTACCGCGAGTAAAATCATATTTCACGGTTTTTAGTCGAAACAATGCACAACAGCGCGCGCCCTCCAACCCCCGGCCAATATCATCAATTTTCAAGATTGCTGTCTACGGGACACCTTTGTGCGCGATAATAACATTTAAAGTACTAAACCTGTCCGGGCGTCAAGTGGGTGGCTATAACACTAACATAAATCCGAAACGGCCCAAAACAAAACGGAGACGGTAAAAAACCACAAGAAGTTACCGAAGAAAAAAACAAACTAACTGCTTTGCCCACAGGTAGATATGCGCAAGGTAATTTTAGATTCTATTATTACCGATTGCATGATGCG